ATCATCAGAGATATCTGTTGAATGAATGATCTGGCCTGGATCCCTTTAAAAGGATAAAAAGCTACCTTCTGGGCCAGCTATACTAAAATCAATTACTCAGGCCATCATTCTCCACCTCCCACATCAGTCCTCCTATGTGACAAAGTCTTAAGGAGATGAACATTTATTGGGGGTCTACGGCATACCAGGCACCAAGCCAGGCCCTTTATGTGTGAAGTCATTTTCACAATCTAAAGTGTGAAAGCTCCCTGTAGAGCTAGCACTTTGAAACTCAGAGGCTCTGATGTCCAATCAGACAATGAACAAGCAAGGGGAAAGGAGTGACGTCACAATTTCCATCCCAATAGTGACAGAGATGTCAACAGAGGCGGCCCCCACATAGCATGGAGCTCTAAGTCCCTGTACCTTCAGTGCCTGGTGTGTGGCAGGAGTGCAGACAGTGGTTGTTGAATAAATGAACAAATGATTGAAGAGGAAACACAGAAAGAAAGAGTAGAAGACCCATGTTTCTTTCTGGACCTGACCTAGTATATTTCCCCCACATGTTGATAAACAAAATTGGACATTGGAGTATTTTTGTCATGGGCAGCTGTCCACAGTGCCAGCCAAGGCTGATCCTTGTGATTTCTGCTCACTCTATTGACGAAAAATGACTATGCTCAGCTGCAAAGGAAGCTGAGACATTTCTTTTGTGAACCCGGGGAGGAAGAGAAAACAGATTTGGGGTGAATAGCTGGCAGTCTCTGCCACAGGATACAAGGACGGTGTTGCCTCTGCCAGTGTCCCTGGGTGGCCATGAGCTATCATTGGATCGATTGCTGGATGTTCACTCTAGAACAGCCCTTGGGGGCCATCAAGGCCTAGGTTCAACCCCCTGATTTTGCAAATGGGAATCTGGAGCCCAGAATGTTAAGGGACTCCTTCACTTGACAAAGAGTTGTTTGGTGGTAGAGCCCTAAGATTTTGCTTAATTGGTCCCATGCTTTAGCTGCAAAGCGGATCTTTAAACAAGAAAATCTTCTCATCTCCTTCAGAAAAGTGCTGCAAAGTTCACATTTCAATGATAAAGAAGAAAGTATTAAGAGCAATACAAATTACGATGATGATATAATGATAATTACAATGGTACTGATCCTTTCTTTAGTTACGCAGAGGCTCCTCTGTGTCCTCTGCTCCCTAAGATTCTTCGTTATTAGGAACGTCAGCTACCACCCCAAAGTATTGCAGGATCATTTAGCTGACCACATGTGTGAGGAGTGAAAGTTGTGTAAATTTGCGCAATTATTTAAGTCTTTAAGCTTTAGCTCTTTCATCAGTAAAACGGAAATAATACCTCCATCTCAGGTTTGTTGTGGGGATTAAAGAAGAAATGAAAACCACTTGATACAGTACCTGGTTGGGAACCACTGAATGTCAATTTCTTTTCTTGCAAAGTTGAGGTCCTTTCTGTGACTACCCAGGCGACCATTACGCAAAATGACTGATGCAATCACTCTTGAAAGGGGGCACTTCCAACAACATTTAATCAACAAATACAATCTTTTTCTAATATCTGCAATTGCTAAACTTAGGATCCATAGATGAGAAGAAAAGCATCTGCCCCTAAGGGAGACTGAAACATAAACAAAAAACCAGCACCATGTGACAAGCTGCAGGGACAGAATGGGTGATGGTGAGGTGGGGGGAAGCTTAGAAGTTTGCTTGCGTGAGTGATGGAGTGCTTCCCTGAGGAGGTTATATGCTTCACCTGGAAGGAGTCAGAGCCAGCCAGGTAGAAGGGAAGGAAGTGGGGGAGGACACAGAAGTGTGAGGAAGCACATTTTCTATAATGAAGGAGCTATTTTAGATATTGCTGGAATAGCTTTTTTAAAAGCTTTAATGAAAGAGAATGGACAGGTGACCGTGATGGCAGAGAGTTTCCAATTTTAGCTTGCCATACATGGGGAGTCACTGAAGAATTTTGGGCAGCAAGATGATGCAGAAGGGGTGAATGAAAAGAAGTGGGAGAATGACAGCCAGTTGAGAGCTAGATGGCTGAAACCCACACCCAACCCCATCACTCATTTAATCATTTAACAAATAGTTACCGAGGACCTGCCATGCACCAGGCTGAATTCCAGGAGCTGGAAATCAGGCAATGAACAGGACTAGCAAGGTACGGTTCTCATGGAGGAGACTGACAATAAACAAACCAGTAAACAAGCAAGGAAGTATTAGATAAGTGCTTCTTGGAAAATTAAACAAGGTGAGAAAAGAGTCCCTGAGCGGCTGCTCCTCACCCTCTCCCCCTCCTTCTGAATACTCACCAAGCCTCCTCTTGATGGAACTCTGGTTTCCCAAGGAGGCTTTGCTCCTAGAAAAATCTCTAAGGTCAATAATTAACCTAGCTCTCTAGGCGCTGCCAATAAGACTTCTTCCCCAGGGCCTGGTCAGCTTGTAATCCATGCTTCGGGACCACCGATTCTGCCAGAAATCTCAAGTCTGAAAGCTAGGGGAAGGTCGCAGCAACCTTGAAACACCCCCTCTCCCCCACCCCCGCCTGAGGTTCCCATGGCAACGTATGACCCACCCACTCCCAGCACAACCCTTCTCCCCCCTTTTATTATATGTATACATCCCCTGAAGAAGAGAAACGTTTGATAGTATGGCTAAAATTGTGCCTTCCTCTCCTCTGAAAAACAAACTTTTAAAACGCGGCCACCGCTGCTGGCAGGAACGGTCCCCCTCCCCGGTCCCCGCCCCCGGGACTCCCGGAGGCCGCGCGTTCCCCAGCACGGCTGCCGGAGGCTGCTTCAGCCCCACCCGGGCTCACTCGCGTGTAAGTCAGAGCTCCTCAGCGCCAAAGGGATGCGGGCCAAGAACCAAAAAGCGAACGTTGGTTGTGTTAAATGTAGCCGAAGAAACGAGGGACTGGAAAAGCAGATTTCCCAGTATGCCCCGTGGTCTTCCCCCGCTTGACACATTTGCTTACCGCGTAGGGTTTTTTTTTTTAACTACGAAAACTTTCAGAGACACAGGAAAGTTTTAGGGAAATCTAGCAGAAGTCTGATTTTTGCCCAGCTTCTCTGGACTGCCTGATAATCACAGTTCGCCCTCTGTGGTCTATAGCAGTCAAGGTGACTAATTTAGGACCCCTGTTCGGAGGGGGTTTTATTCTAGTTAGGGAGAGAAGACTCTAATAAAAACATTTCTTTTTTTTTCTTGTCTTAGCAGCTTACACCTTACAAGGTGTTTTCACATTTCTGATGCCGTTAAAAATCATAAACTCAGAGCTGAAGGGAAATTTAGAGATCAAGGACGGGGGGTGGGGGCGGGGTGTGTGGGGGGAGACAATTACCTGGCATATACCAGGCCACTTCCCAAACGCCTGCCCATGGTAGACATTGCTAATCGATCACTCATTCATGATTGAACACTTAGTTATTGGACGCCCTCCACATTCCACATCTTATGTTAGGAATACAGCAGGAAACCAGACAGACTTGTTTGCTACCCTTATGGACCTCCAAGGGGAAGACAGACATTAAACAAATAATTACGGGCCTGAACAGTGTTTGGAAAAGGCCGAGTGTGGGGGCAGATAAGGGCATCACACACCTGGAGGTAATCTGGGGGTGGGGCAGGGGCAGGAAAGGCCTCCCTGAGGAAAAAATATATATATATTTTTTCTTTTTTTTGGGAAGTGATGTTTTAAGCTGAAGTCTAGATAATAAGGAAAGTGAGTCTTTGCGAGGGTGAAAAAAGAAACATCACATGCCAGGATGAAAGATGGCGTGAGTCAGGGCAAGTTCCACAGCTAAATGAGGGGGCATGGATGATAATTAGGCGTAGGTGTGCAGAAGGAAACTGAGGTTGATCCAGCCTGGCCTTGAAAAAGAATCAGTTGATAGGAGGAGAAGGTTGGGAGAGCCTGATCAAAGGTCAGATTTACTGTTTATTCTCCTACTTCCTAGGAATTATTCTCTCACATGCTGCCAGTTAAGAAAAAACAAACGGAAAAAAAACTATAAACGATCCACTACCTACTACGGGGTGGCAAGTCTCATGAATTGTCACATCTTCCTTGCGGGATAAATATTATTTTTCCCGTTTTACAGATGAAAAGTGCATGGGAAGACACTTGCCAAAGTTGATCATCTAAGCAGAGCTAGGATTTGAACAGCTGCACTTTCCACAATTCGTCACTGACATAAAATCTCAAGAAGGAGGCTTGGCTCTAACAGCAATCAAACAAAACTCGGGAAGCGACGGAACAACTGTTCACTGAGGAATCGTAAATACTACTTGGGGTAGGGGTGGGTGGGGAAGGAGACGCGGCAGGTGAGTGAATGGACACGGTTAGGCAGAGAGGTGCAAGGAGGAAACCGAGCAGTGGCGGGTGGTGTGGGGGATGGCGAGGCGTGAGGAGTGACTGAGAGGGGCATCCCTGGACTGCTCCGGGACTGCACCGCGGGGAGGTGCCTTGCTCTAACCACCACCCGGCCCAGCCCGGTTAATCATTTCCTGACCTTCCTTCCTCCTCTCGCCCTGTCCGCAGGATTGCCACATCAGCTCCCCCCTCCCCGTTCGCCTCCTGGCCCTGCTGCTCCTTTGCCGGGTTTTACAAGGAGCCCCAACTTTGAGGCAATGTTTGTAATAGCCTCGGACATCCTCAAGGCCGTGCCCCTGAGAGATCGCAGGTTCGCTTGGGTGTAACGCCTGCCCTAGCGGCCACTTGAGGCTTGCCCTGTGCTCTTTCTACGAAGAAGCCAGAGAGGCGGGCATCCAATCCTTGCACGGATTAACCAAGTACAGACTCGGTTTCCCCAGCGGTAAATTTACAAAGGGGATGGTAAAAGCAGCTGGCGGGGTGGTGCAAGGTTTAAAGGAGGTATTGTGGGTAAAGCCTGGCTAGGAGACAGTAGTAGGTGTTAAACAAATGTCAGATGCCTTCCCTTTTTATCACCTGGTAACTGGGACCTCGCGCTAAGCAAACCCAGGTTTCAGCTATCTCACTTAAGAGTTACACCTGATGGTGAGGTAAGACTGTCCGACCACGCGCTGGAGGTAACGCAGATGGTGAGTCACAGTGCCAGGGTTTGTTCATGAGCGCCCCCGCGGGCCCAGCCATTCAGCACCCAGATGGCTGGCTAAGGCCACTTGTTCAGAACCTAGAATCCGGTCAGTATCGCACCTGCTGCAGGGAGAAAAGCACTAACGCTGTACTGCTCTGGGATCTACGCAGCTCGCTGGGCCACCAGGGGCCAGGCCCTTAACTTCTCTGAGCTTGTACCTTCGTGTGTAAAATGGGGGCTACAGTGCCTGTCTGCCCGAGTGGTTTTTACTTTCTGCTTCACACTTTCCTGTGTGGCCACATTTGCTACCATGGTGTAGTAAGACCACCCCACACTACACAGAATCAATCTTCTATGACTGCGAGCAATCGCTGGGCCGCGGTAAAAGCAGCAGACTGGCCAGGCGTGCCCCAGCTTGGCGCCCCACCCTTCTCGGGGCCGGGGGAAGCCGCGGGTGCTTGGCGCAGCGGAGTTGGGAAAGTCACTTCCGAGCGTACCCTGACTCCGCGCCACCCGCCTGCCAGCACCGGGACCCCACCCCCGCGGGAGAGGACGGGGGCGGGGCCGAGACTGGAGGCGGGGCCTGCTCAGGGGCGGGGCGGGGCCGGCCTGGGAAGACGGAAGCCCCCAGCCTAGGGGTGGCGGCAGAACCCGGATTCCGGACTACCACGTTTTCCGGAGCCGGGCTCCTGGAGACGGCGGGCAGGAAAACCCGGCGCCCGGAAGCTTTTGCTTTCTTTGACGCAAGGGCTCGGGACGCAGCCGCCGTCGGCCGAGCGCCCGGCAAGGAGCGACCCCAGACGGAGCCTTCAGAGTCCCTCCGTCCCCCACCCCCCGCCCCGTCCGGGAGCCTCAGTCCCTCTCGCCGCCCTCCTCGTGGCCATGGAGTGTCCGCACCTCAGCTCCAGCGTCTGCATCGCTCCGGACTCAGCCAAGTTCCCCAACGGCTCCCCGTCGTCCTGGTGCTGCAGCGGTGAGTAGCGGCCCCAGGCGGCCCT